AACTCTTCGAAGTCAATCAGTCCATCATGGTTTAGATCAAATTCTTGAAAGAGTAGACGGAAATCAAATATGTCCGCTTCTGACCATTGTGGATATTTATTAGCCAAACCATGTATATCTAAAAAAACGAATGGAATATCCGATCGGATTAATTGAAACATAACAAAGATATGTTAAAGTTTTAAGTACAGTACATAGGGGCCCAAGCCTACTTGTTTAATTATATAGAGGTAATCTTAGTTATCTCCATTCTCACCTTTAAACTTAGCTTTTGCCTTAAGTGCTTCCTTTCGTTTATCGATAATTGACTCGAAGTGATTTTCAGTAATATTCTCAAAACGTGTCTTTTCTAATGTACTTTCATCAATCGTAAATTGTTTTTGAGCACCTGTGGAATACAAATTAAACCAAAGTGATTATGCCTGACTATTGATTGATAAATGATTGAATGACTGGTTGCTAACTAGGCTAGGGCCCCTACAACACATCACTAATCTAGGGTAGGCCCAGCTAGGTTGGCTCTAGGCCTAGAGTAGAGGCCTAGCCTAGGCCCTAGGCTAGGCATTAAATTAAAGTACAGTTTAGGCCTAGGCCTAGTAATAAAGTAGTAGGCCTAGGCTAGGCCTAGTCAAAAGTTGGGCTCTTTTTGCTTACCTGTTGACATAAAGGAATCAGGAGATGTAAAGTGCATTGGTTTTGGAATGATGGGGAAACCTATTGATATACCCATCACATACGACCAAAGTATTCAAGCAAAATAAGGCATATTCCTGCCAAGTAAGGATTAAAATATAAAGATTTTACAATACTATAGCGCTCGATTTTTGTCGTGTTCTTGTGTGCGCGTATCACGCGCAAATACATTCGACGCAAAAGAGAGAATCTGCGTGGCCATGGCAAAACCTTAACAATAAAATAAATTATCCTTGCATTTGTTTCTGTGGGTGGTTTCTAAATGACTGAATTATTAATGTTGTTGAAGCCTTTTAACATTTGAAAACAAATTAATCATTTAAATGTAGTTAAGTATTTTAGCAGCTCTAACCAAATTTAAACATTTGTTCTTTAAAAGAATTGAATGCTTATTTCTTTTGAATTTGATTCAGTGGTCGGTTACTAAATCACTGAATCATTAATGTTGTTCAAGTCTTTTAGCATCCGAAACCAAATGAATCATCTATGTACTTCAGTATTTTAACAACTGTAACCAAATTTAAACATGTGTTTATACAGTAAAATAATTGAATATTTATTTCCTTTTAATTTGATTAGGTGTTCAGTTTCTAAATATGTGAATCAGGGTTTTAGAAACTGGAACCAAATGTTTTATATTATGCATTAGACATCTATTCCTGTATCTTGACTACCACTAAAATGCAGTCAATCAAGTCCCAATGATAGACAAGTAGTTATTCTGATGAGGCTAACATCTACAACAGAGTATTTTGAAGCAAACAACACTGAGGGTACAGGTATGAGTGTAGAGGTATACGGTACCATGAACGAGGGCCTTTTTTAACTGTGCAAGCCATTGAAATTGAATGTTTCAAGATCAAAATAAAAACCTCAATATTTAATTTTTGAATAATCATTAGTGCATTTTATTGTTTAAAACTTCTGGTTATTTTTTTTTTAAAGTGGTCTTGTAGTAGAGGTCATTTTGACACTTGGGGCTGTTCCTTTTCTCTCGTTCTTCTTTGTTCGTCTTCCATATTACGTAAAAATTCACCCTTATCGTTATATTTTACCGTGCGATGAGAGCTGCTGTAGGACTCCACTGTGAGAAAAAGTTGATTCAGTGGTGGTGCCAGGCACGAGAGGGAATAGGGTGGAGTGATGTCTCCGATGATAGGGCCGATGTCCAGCCCCGTGCTAGACTCGTTGATCAGGGTGGGGTGAAAATTGTCGTTCATTATGTCGTTCAGTTTTTAATTAGATCATTTGGGGGAAATAGGGACGGGTGAGTACCAGACGTGTGTCAACACCCACCTCAGTCCCACCATGTCTGGGGGTGGACACATTAAGGATGGACAGCTTTAAACGCCGGATATAGCATTCTCATACTTAAAATATTACATGGGCATTTAATGAAATTCTTGAATAATGAGCGTTTCTTTTGGAACTAGTAGACTAATTTTTGCGCAAACAACAACGTATCCAAATGTACTGGCACAATTCCGAGAACCCGGCTACATCTTTGGAATATGATTTATCTAGATACCTAATAGATATTCATGAAATATCTGTACCTAATTGAGGGATAGATTAAAACAGAGCAGTTGACTATACACAATAACTCCAGAATAAAAGCTCTCCTCGGAAAACATTCCGGTTATTTCCTAGTCTAGGATTTTGGGCCAGAATAAATTATCAATCATGAAATTAAATAGTTGAGGTTTTGTTAGGCAGGGCCTTATATAAATTTTAAGAAATAATTTAATTAATAAATAAATTAATTAATAAATAATTAATAAATAATTTAATTTAATTTAATTTAATTTAATTTAATTTAATTTAATTTAATTTAATTAATAAATAATTTAATTTAATTAATAAATAATTTAATTTAATTTTGGGGAGGTAGGATTTAATAGGGAGAATGGCCCTATGGCTCCCTCTTAGCTACGGGGCTGCCGATTGGCCTTGGTTGCAGGGTTGCTAGAACACGTACTGGTACGTCGCAGGTTACCGTAAATGCTCAAGTAAGCTCCGTTCTCGAATAAGCGCCTCACCAAACGTGAATTTTTTTTTCATTAAGCGCCTCTCGAGCCGGGCTCTCGAATAAGCGCCGCGGCGCTTAATCGAGAGTACCCTGTGTGTAATAAAACAGGGTTTTAAATACAATCTATGCAGTATTAAAATGAATAGCCTAAATAACACAATGAAGACACAAGCACTTCTTTATAAACGTTTATTTACGATCAAGGGCGTCGATCCGTGGATGTAGGGGTAGGGACGAAATGCAAAATAATTTAGCCTTGTGTCGTTGGCACAAGCTTCGGTAGCAGTGGCGGCGCCAGCGGTTGGGGAGGGGTGCAGATAATTTTTTTGCCTTCCCCTGCCCCAGTTTTCGCCCTCAAAAACGAAGATAAAGCACAATTCGTCGGGGAGGAAAAAAATGTATCTTCTACATATTAGTAGATTATCTCTGTAAAATCGATTGAAAAGCGTCTAAAACCCCTAATTGTCATATCAAAAAAAATTTGGAGGGTGGGCCGGCTGGGCCCCTTGAATCTGTCACTGAAATAGGCCTACTCAATCATGAGGTTTTTCCTTTTCTTCTCTTTTTGAATTTCACTTTAGTGGAAGAGAATTACGACTATACACTATTGTGAGTGGAAATATTACCGTACAATCAAACAGGCCTAGGGAGATAATATGAAGCACACAAACCATTAGTTAGCATTTGTATTTCACAAACATAAAGGAGATTAACTTAATTTTATTATTATCAGTGGCTGATCCAGGAAACCGATAGAGGGGGTAGGGGAATGGGAGTAACTTTCACAGTTTGGGAAATTAGACCACCCCAGCCCCACCATGGTTGGGGCTGAGGTATAATTTATTATTATGAAATTACATTTTCCCTTTTTTCCCCCATTTTTTAAAAATAATTTTAAAAAATATTTAGGGGGCCCGGGTCGGCTCCGCCCCACTTGAATCCGTTACTGATTATTATGACGTCATTGCGAGATTGCGTCAACAGAACATTTGAGTTTGTGAACTTTTGGTATCACTACTTAAATAAATCGTTTATAGTAGAAATTGTGCACTTTTGAGTTTGTAAAAAAAAAAATCGCATAATTATAGGTTTAACAACGTACACAATGCCGTAGCCAGCTATTGCACAGTTGGGACAGTCACACACAATTTTTTCTATTGGGTCCACAAAGAACCGGTACACATTTTAAAAATGGGTCCAGATTTCTCATATTTTGTGTAAAATGGGTCGACTTTTTAAGAAAATGGGTCCACATTATTTGAATTTACGCGTAAAGGGGGTCCACCCTGATATTGTCCCACAAAGTTTGAAAATCCAGGCTACAGAATTGAACGCACAGTACATTGTTTTAACAATATACTGTAGGGTACTTGTTTCGATTATAAATGCAGTTTAGGTAAAACAATTTTATGTACGCTATTGGTTGAGTATAGGCCTCCTAACCATATAACCATATTTTTATACTTCCCGTAAGTAGTATATTGTCTTGTCTTGTGAGTAATTGAGGAAATCCGGTTACATCGATTTTTAGGATGTTCCCTTTACACCACATCAATTAAATTGTACATTGACCTATACCATAGAGTTGGTGCTGGGGCCATGACCTCAGTTGGAGGTACGGACGACACTCCATCACGCATTGCCTCAGGGGGAGGGGAACAGGGCTCTCGTCCTTGAGAAGAAAACAAAAAACTACCGCTATGTGGGGAAGTATGTTTCATGAATTGGGCTTTTTCCCACAAAGTAAAACTAGATATTCTTTTCTATCATATTGACATTGATTCTTATGTTTGCTACTCACAAAGTTACAGGCATAATCGTAACAAAAACACGCAAATTTTGTTCAAATTAATAGTTTTGAACACAGTCGGTATTTTCTGTGTAACTTCACCCATATATCCACCAAATACCAGGGCTTTAAAGTCTAAAAACACTTCGCCTGTAAAATATCGGTTCAAGTCATAATAAAAACAAGTCTATGATAAAGTTTTTATTGTTAATCTGCAACGTCATATAGATGAACTAAGACACCAGTCTTTGGCGTTTGTCGATTGGTTGGTAATGGATTTAATTCTAGATCTGAGTGGAGTCACCCTACTTAACATTGGCCCACCGTTGTGTGTTGTCCTTCACTTTATTGAACAAAAAATATATTCATCGAATGGTTATTACTTTCAGTTACTTTTAATTTTTTATAATTTTATTTTTTGTTGCGGGCTAGAATACTTTGCTTCGTGGGCCAAATTTTGTCCGAGGGCCGCTTATTAAGAACCAGGGGAATAATGCTTCTCATCTTCCGTTTTCAGTTTCACCCGCTGTTCCTTAAGGACCTCTACTGGAAAAAAAGGGGAAAAAAACCCTTTTTATTGTTTACAAATTTACTATGTATCATCTCGTCCCATGTTATTTAAAAATAAATGACCATTTGTTGTTGAGCGCACGAAGTAGCAGCACAATTTGTTTGGAAAGGGAAATATGACGACGACCTGGCGAATCCGCCAGAGTATACATCAAGGATGTGGTTTTCTTTCTCGAATGTGATGGTGTGACCATGAGGTAAAGAAAATTTCTAATGGAACACCTTTTCTTCCGCCCTTGGTGTACCATACAATTGTGACAATATTTCAGAATTTTGAAACGAACAGCGTGATAATAGTTACAACCAATTATGGGAATTCGAAGGTCAATTGACTATTTCACGTTTCATCCCAGTCTTATTTTATATGTAAAATATAAGTGGTGATTTACCCCATCAATAAGTGGACGATTCTAAACACTTGTCATCTGATTTGTGGAACGTTTGCGAAGGGAAGCGGAGTCACTTGTGCTAAGTATGTTTCTTTTCTCTTGCTGGTGATGTGTGTGGGCTTATCGCTTAACATTTTTAGTACTATATTAGAGCAGTGCTTTGTATCTGGTGAGTATTTAAGCTTTCATTCTGAATCATGGGATTATCTTCAGGGTTTGCCCTTTTTTTTAATTTTGCGTCGAGCTGTTTCTCTGGTAGGCCTCACCCCTCAGTATGTAATGTATGATTGATGAAGCGTGTTACACCATCCCCGATATCCAACCGGGATCATTTATACAGTTAGACTAAATTTTAATCAATATATCTTCATAGTCTGTTGTGCATTAGGTAATTAAAGCAATATATATATATCCTAACATCTCATTATTATATAGTTTTTATATTTTTCGCATTCACCCTAAATCGCACTTAATTAAATCATCAATGCTGAATGACTTACAATCTTTAATACAGAAAACACATAAACGCAGTTGTATAGGCTACTCCATATGTTTTTTTCATCATGACGCAGGCCTAAAATTCATAAAATATAGTTTGTTTTATTTGTATTAACACCACTCCTATTTGGCTCATAGGATATGAAATCATCATGCGCATACTGTATATAGGCTTGATAATTATTAGATAATTAACCTTAATAAGGCGCCAGATTAAGTTATAAATTGCTTATTTTTGTAGCTTCTGATTGTGGAGAGGAGATGAGGGTGGCTTCAAAAATTTGCCGACAAAGGGCCCAACATATTCCGCACCAAGGGAACAAGTAGAGCCTTGGACGGAATGAAAAAAATTGGGGTTCACAGGGAAAGTTTTTATGGCTTTGTATTGTCCAAATTGTGCTTTTAGACCACAATATTAGGGATTAGCAATCAAAATAACGTTATTTGGATAACCAACTTATTATTTTTTAATTTTTTGATCGGACGACATCACCGTGGCTTCGGACGACTGTCCGACGGGAAGGATAATTTTTAGCTAATTAGTGCACCCGACGCCAGGAAAAAAATGGAAATGTCAGAAAAAAAATATAGGTTTGTCTATTTTTATTATGACCACAGCTGACCTGAAATCTCAAAAAAATGTTTCATTTTTTTAATTTAATTTCATTTTTATTTTCTCTTCTGTCTGGATGTGTTTGGCAGAAGTTTTTGCTAAATAAGAAAACAAAATTTTATTTTTTATTTTGTTTCCGCCCTCAGATGACGACCTTTAAAAGAATAAGTTAGTGAAAGATGGTATAAAACAGTCTCGCCTAAGCCTGTTTGGGTGTAACTTTTTTACTTTAGTAAATTTTCAGTGGAAAAATTTTAAGAACTTTCCTTGCTCCTCCACGCTAGAGGGGAAGTTTTGAGTCATGAGCTAGAGATTAAATATTCTAAATTTACATAGGAAAGAGGGATTTGGTTATATATTCACCTCATTTTTTTATACAACCCTTTTTAATCTCCTTGGTTTTTCCAAATATTCTACCAAAACCCAAGGTCAATGCTCTTTCTCATTTGCTTCTGCTTCTCTTTGGAACCAGCTTCCTATTAATAAAACTACTTCTTCTAATCTTTGCAACTTTAAATCGCAAATTAAGGCCACTTTGTTTTCCGAGGGTATCACACTTGCATAGTGCGCTTTTGATCTTTTTTGGAATTGGCGCCTTATAAATTTCGGATATTATTATTATTCATTTCAGTTTGTCTATCTTGGCGTAGTGGCCTAATAAAGTAGGACTGTGACATTAAAATTTTATGGTCATGATGGCGATGGGACTGATAAGGATGAAGACAAAACCAGCTACAATGACAATAATGAGACCAGTAATAAAAATTATACAGTGAAATTAACAATATTAATAACCATAATAATGATCATAAGAATTATAATAATTTGATAAAAGTAATCATTAATAATAATATAAAATTATAATAAGAGGTAACTATGCTATAAATTTATATACCGGTAAATATAATGGTAGGATAATATTTATAATGATGCTTGATATCAGTAATTGTAACATCCGTACTACTTTAATGTTACTATTTTTGATGTCTATATCTTTCTTTTATTTAATATAATATTGATAATTGTAAAAATAAATAATTATAATATAAAATGATAATAACAGGTAACTATGCTATCAATTTACTGTATATATAGATATAGTGTTAGGATAATAATTATAATGATGCTTGATATCGGTACTCGTAGTATCCATACTACTTTAATGTTACTATTTGCATGACTATTTTTCTTTCATTTAATTAAATTCAATCAATTACCAGTAGGTGATATGGTGAACTTTCATTTTATCTAAAATAAGCAAAGTCATCGACATATGTACGAAAGAAAAATGAAAGAAGCATTATAATTTCTCTCTATTAGCAAAAGACTCCAACCTTATCGAGTCAGTTGCTTTTAGTTTCCATGGCGAAGAATTGATTTATGTTTAAAGAGTGTCAATTCACTGATTAATTAGTGCAAATCACAAACAAGATGAAATTATTGTACCTTGGAAGACAGTTTGTTCTAACCAGGGAGTTGTTATGGTGACTAACATTAAGTGTTGTTGACAGTGAATGTGTTTTGAAGTTAAGTTTAGTAGGTTATAGGTAGGCTAACGTCATTACTCTAGTACAGTAACTATTAAATCACAATATTACCATACTAATGTCTACAGTATTTAACAATAAAAGCCTTACTAGTAAAGGTTAGTTAGTAAGATTAGTTTATCACCACCATCCTCATGTGTTCTATGGTAACTTTTTTTTTTTTTTTTTTTTTTTAAATATTCAATATTTTTTGTATTTTCTCAATCATGTATTTTACTTATCGATATCAATGCACCAGCAAACAACAACCTTAGGCTTACTAAGGTAAGTTAGTAAGATTAGTTTATCACCCCCATCCTCATGTGTTCTATGGTACTGAAAAAAAAAAACCATGTAAATAAAATTGTATTTTTTTTAGTAAATATTAAATATTTTTTGTATTTTCTCAATCATGTATTTTACTTATCGATATCAATGGACCAGCAAACAACTCATGGGTGATATTTGGCTTTAGCGAAATAAAAAATAAAAAGTTTCCCTCCTCATCAGTTTTTCAGGCTAGACAGGATGACAAATTAATCATTTTTTATTGGGCCTAAATATTGTAAATCAAGTGAAAGAAAGGGATACACAAAATAATTTATCAAAATTTAATTTGTCATTCAGATTTTTAAAATTCAATATAAATCCATTTACTAGGCCTAGAAAAAATATTTTTGTTTCTGACAAAAATTATCTTTATAAAATACAGTGGTGGAGCCAGAATTTGGCCGACAGGGGTCCATGGTCCTAGAAGGGGGTTGGGGGAAATGTCCTCGACAAAAAAAGTAGGCGTGGTTGGGCATTGCTGAAAATCTCTCAAAAGTGTTCTAGGGCAAGCCCCTGAAAAATATGACAATTTAGGGGTTTCAAAGGCTTATTTAATCAGTTTTGGAGGCCTTGCCAGCTCTCCCCAATGGGGTCTAGATGTGTATAACCCCCCCGGCTGGTGCCACCCCTGATAAAATACCTCCAGCAACGAATGTTATCTGTAAACTATATAGACAGTCCAGTAGTGTCTCTGTTGCATCATTTATATATTTTTCTGCAATTTAAGAGGAAATGTTTCTAAAAGCTTGCAATTTAATGGATATCAGAAGTATTGTTCTTAGCTCCGATGAAGAGCTGATTGATTAATATATTTTTTTTTCATTCTCTTTTTTTGTATGGGCTGCTGTTAGGGCCATTAACTCTGATGAGAAGCTGTAGAAACACTTAGCTGAATGAAGAGCTCTAAGAATACCCGGCTGATTGATAAATAGATTAATTTTCATTCTCCCTTTTTATGGGCGCCCGTTAGGGCCAATTATTTTTGTTATTATTAGCTCCAATGAGAAGTTCTAGAAACTTTTTAGCTCCATGAGGAACTCTAATATTCAGCTGATTGATTGATGTTTTTTTCTGAATGATTAATAGATCTTTTTTTATTGGCGACCGTTAGGGCCAATATACTCTACTTCCTCTATTATACTGCCCACATCGGAGCTTTCGAGATTGCCAGACCTTGCCAATGGCCAAATTAAAAATATATAATCTGATCACTTTCAAAAGATGTTAAATTTTAATTAATTTGGATTTAATTGATATTCTTTATGAAATATATTAATCGCATGAATTGTTTACTATTAAAAACTTACTTCTTTTTTTTTTTTTTTTTTTTATTGCAGACAACTATGTGTGCAGATTTTGTAAATGTTACTATGGATATGGTAAACAATGGAACATTTTACACAACAGAACTATATTTGTCTAGTACAGTACCTCCACCAACCGGTATCTACTCTGAAATTTGGTTGAACACTCTCATAGTTTCTATGGTCATTCTCATGACTGTAAGCATTGTAGGAAACACAATGATTATTGTGGCAACCATTTTATACAAGTCAATGCGGACAAAAACAAACATTGCTATATTAAACCTTGCAGTCGCAGACATCGGTGTTACGGTACTTGACATGCCTGTGTCGTTAATATCTGTGATTAAACATGGAGAGAATTGGTTAACGTCCCATCTATTATGTGATATAAACTCCTTCTGTAATGCATTGTTCCTAATTGCATCCATTCACAGCCTCATGTACATCAGCGTGCATAAATACTTTTCTCTTGTAAAACCACTAGATCATGCAATTACAAAGAGACGAACAATAGCTATGATATTCGTTGCATGGTTCACAGGGTTCATCTGTGGAATTGGCCCAATTTTGGGATGGACGACCAATGAATTTAAATATGAACAAGGCGCAACGCAATGTGGACCAATGTTCCCAATGACACTACAGCAAAAGTCACACTCGATTTTCACATTCGTTGTAGGGCTTTTCATCCCGTTAGCAGTGCTAATCTTTACATACACAGCAATATTTATTGAAGTGCATCGTTTCTCCAAACGACTTATCGCAAATACAAGTTTCACTGAAATCAGAATTATGAAACAGAAAATACGCATCACAGTGACTTTGTTTATCCTTGTTGTGGCGTTTTTATTCTGCTGGTCGCCGTACATGATATACGCTTGCTGGGTGCTTGTCAAAGGTTATGAGAGCGTTCCAATTTGGTTTAATTCATTTGCATACTGGAGTGGATACCTTAGCTGCGCCATTAATCCAATTATCTATGCGTGGCGAACAAAGACATTTCGTACAGCTTTCTTGAATATCATACAGTGCAAGTCTAAGATGGATAAAATTACAGGTTTGTTAACAATATACTGTGGATATAAATGTTAAATGATATAGACCCACATTTACAGGACTTTACCAATCTAATTATCTGTGCATTGATTCATTTTATATTGCATAACATTTATATGACACCTGAAAAGACAAGACAAGACAATAATATTGTCTTGTCTTGTAACAAGTATTGTCTCCCATATTATGGGAGACAATACTTGTGCTAACCCCCACCCCACTTTATAGGACTTACCAATCTAATTATCTGTGCATTGATTCATTTTATATTGCATAACATTTATATGACACCTGAAAAGACAAGACAATACAATAATATTGTCTTGTCTTGTAACAAGTATTGTCTCCCATATTATGGGAGACAATACTTGTGCTAACCCCCACCCCACTTTATAGGACTTTACCAATCTAATTATCTGTTCATTGATTCATTTTACATTGCATAACATTTATACACCTGAAAAGGCAAGACAAGACAATATTGGAGACAATACTTGTGCTAACCCCCTCCCCACTTTATAGGACTTTACCAATCTAATTATCTGTGCATTGACTTAACTTTTTAACTTTTTTTGGTATCTTGCATGGGGCGATAAATGTTTAATGTTTGGTAATTGTTTTGGTATTTGTTGTTATTTGACGACAAGTTGGAGGCACAAGGTCAAATAAGGTCAGCAGTGATTTAATGAAAACAGAGCCTGTTACTCCTTCTATAAAGTTACTTATACCCGATTCACACGTACAAAAATCTTACCAAATGTAACAAAATGTAACCAAAAGTAACATTTTACTGCACGTGTGAAAGTACCTCCGTGTAATATCCTTGTAAAATCTCGGAACGTCTCGGT